ACTCACGAATGTAATTTCATTACATGGGAATGACTCAAAATCGATTACAATATACGATGGCAAAAACCATTAAACAAAGGCCGCCTGTACGACGGTAAAAACCGCAGAAGGTCGTCTGACCTTTTAGTCGAGCTTCCACGGTACATAGACAGGGGCGATAGGGGCCCGACCGGCCCCTTCCCTGACCACACCTCCCCGTGAGGCGGGCACGAGGATGGGGTGCAGGGCACTCGGGCAGGAGGGGGAGCTGATGGACCAGCTCCTACCCACCTCCTCCCTACAGCTCCAAGCCTGACGGCCTCTCCCCTAGCCATCGGAGGGCCTGGGTCAGAACACCATGCCCTTCGGTCGGCGGGTCCAGCGGCCGCCCGACTGACTAAACCTTCCCCTGGAACCTCCTTGTACCCAACCTTCCTCAGGATATAAGGGGAAGGTCAACTCCCATAGAAAGGGGGCTGGACACACAGAGTTCAGTCAACATATTAGACAGTTAGAGAGGAACATCAGAGAGTTCCTCCCCATGGCAACCCAATAAGAGGGAGGGCCGATTCCCTTACTCGCTGTGGAAGAAACCTCACCGCCGACGAGCTATCGGATAGACTGAGCGATCCTCTGTGAAACCCTCATTCTCCTTCTTTGAACCCCCCGATTTGGGTGCTCTGGAATACGAAGAACTCATCACTGATGTACATAGGGCCTCGATAGTCCAAACCAGGATATATCGTCTTGTCTCTCTCGTGTTCTGGAGTACCCGAGCCACTCGAGACCCACACTTCCAACATCTGACAAACAAAGATGCTTGCCACAGTTACTAACCCGCAACAGGCGGCTCCTAGGCATCTTGGCAGATCAAATCATGTAGGGAGTAGGGCAGCAACTTGGTGAGGAAGATGCATGGGTGGCAGCTCCCCGGGCGCTCTGATGGAGGGAGTGGCTCCAGTGCGACCAAGCGGATGGCGGAGCGCGGGAGCACGAGCATCGGAGTAGTGGCTAAATGGTGTCATGCGTGGATGGGGAGGATAAGTGTCTGAGCGGCGGCCATCGACATTGGGCAGGGGAGGATGTATGTGCGAGGTGGGAGCCAGGAGGTGGAAGCCAACGATGCGCGTTGGCCCACTCGTACCCCGTCCCTTTGCGACTCTATGGAAATGGCTGAGTGAATCAGAGGTGGCGGGTCAGAGCAGGGAAGGGCATGGGGCCAAGGTTATTTTGCAGGCCGGGCCGTGTCGCTCAGCGTGCCTAGGTAGCCCAAGCATGACCCTAAGCATTAGGCGCTCCGGCATGCTCGCCACCGGACCATGGCGTGCTTGTGTAGGGCCAAAACACGGGCTTATGACCTTCCCGTGGGCCTTGCGAACATCTATAGGAAGGGGTGAGGTGTTATGGCCTTATAGGATAGGGAGGGTCATTTTAGCGTGCTTTGTAGCAATTTTAGGTGGGCGATGAATTCAATGCAAACATTTTGGTTGATAGAAAAATTAGTTGACCTGGTGGAAAAGGCAAAATTTTTGAAAAAATTGGTGAGATTTTGGTGAGACTCTGAGGGTATGCAATTTGGGTTTGATTCACAAAATTGACGGCCATGCGAATGCACGCTGTGATTAATTGGAGGGGTTGTTGGGAGTTGAGACGTCGGTCCGAGGAAATTTTACTCCAATCAAGTTTCCTTTGGGAAGAAAGATAATCACGCATTAGGGGTCCACATCGTCCTGAGGCCTTCTTTAGTTCCTTCCCTAAAGTTTAGTCCCTATCTCATCAGATGTTTCGGTACATGCATATAGTATTAAATATAGACTAAAAAAATAAATAATTGTAAAAGTTGGGACTAATTTGCGAGACGAATTTTTTAAGCCTAATTAGTCCATGATTTGACAATGTGGTGATACAGTAAAGTTATAGTAAAATGTGCTAATAATAGATTAATTAGGTTTAACAAATTCGTCTCGCAGAGTACTGATGACTTCTATAATTTGTTTTATTATTACTATCCGAACACTCCTATGTGATACTCCGATGTGATACGCGATATGACACACTTAGACTTTAGCCTTAGATTTAAAGGCATGAATCGCTGGTCCTCTACCACGTAGAATCGGCTGGAAGACAGATAGCGCGTCGTGCAATACTGCAGTCATACGACAGCACGCCATACGATTTTTTGCATTATAAAAAAGTCCCGGTCTCAGGACGCACGTCTACTCAAGTACGACGCTCGACGCATCTTCCTCCTCGTTCACAATGGCAACGGCGGCAGCACGACGGCGCGGTAGCCACGGCTTCACAGAAACTCCAACAGGCTATCTATATCCTTCATAAATGTTAGAAATAAAGATTTTAGTAAAATTTTACTATTCAACAGCTTGTCTAATGATTATACAAATATTGCTATTTTCTATTCCGGATTTTTCGTTAGGCAAAAAGAGAAGACGAGAATGGTTGTCTACAGTGCACACGAGATATAGAAAAGTTGTTACAAAGTCAAAAGATATAGAAAACGATTTTTATGAAAATGACTCTCCAAATTATGATAAATTGAAAAGTGAGATTTAGAAAGACTCTTAGAGATGCTCTCATCGCTTGGCGAAAGAGTTCTCCGCGGCAAATAATGGCGAGGGAAGCGCCGGGTGGTTGAGTAAATCTGTTAAAAAAATCAGGCAGCCTAACCTTCCCAACGGGTGGTTGTGCTCCCGTAGAATACGGCTGTTATCGTGATTTTGTTCCTTAAACCAGAAGTACAAGACATTCTATCTTCATCATTATTAACACATACAATCTTTACCTGTTTATAAGCAGTAATGCGATATATTTGTACTATAAATAGTTCCAGGCTTTTACAAAACGGCAGTGGCGGCGGCACGGCAGCACGCAAGCTCCGGCCTCACGTTTCTGTCCCACCGCCTCGCGAAGCAGTTCACCGCCGCACATGGCAACGCCGCACGCAACCTCGTCTTCTCGCCGCTGTCCATCTACTCCGCGCTGTCCCTCGTCGCCGTGTCAGGACCGAAACCCAGTCCTCTGTGCTGGATGAGCCACAGGAGGCATCTGTGCCAGGCTCGGCAGAAGGAAGACCTGAACGGGTTAAGACTAAGAGCGCTCGAGTGTTTGGGCCGCAATGGGTGAACGAGTGAGCCTAGTAAGGCGTAGTGTGTGCGTGCGTGAGTTGCCTTCCTCGTATATGTGCTGGCCTCTGCCGGTGAACCGAGTCGAGGTTGGGGAGTAACGGGTGCTCAGGTTCAAGCTGTCCTTCTATACCAGCGTGAAGGCGGCGCTCAAGGATCTCGGCGTCCAAGCTGTGTTCTCGTGCACGGCGGAGCTGCCCGACCCGTTGGAGGTAGACGATGGGTCGCATGAGCTCCTGTTTATTGACGACGTCTTGCACAACGCTGTGATCGAAGTGAACGAGGAAGGCACAGAGGCCACGGCTGCAACTGCAGGCCCATTGGGTGCATGTTGTGGCCCCAGCCACCGTCCTCCGCGCCTGGATTTTGTCGCTGACCATCCGGTTGCCTTCTTTGTGATGGAAGAAGTGTCCAGTGCTATCCTTTTTGCAGGACGCGTGCTTGACCCTACACCACCATAGTGACTTCCAAACTCCCATTTGTAGCAATATAGAGTTTGTTTTTGGGTGTGTCTACTTGTCTTAGACTATGTTTCGATTGATATACTGACATACTTAAATTATTTTGCTCACTATAGTCATTTTAGCAGCCCCGTTCGTTCATGTTTTTAGAGCTAGCTGTATATAAAGTTTGTTTGGTTAAGCTGTGGCCTATAGTTAGCTAGGAGCTATGAAAAAGTCGTAAGTTGTAAAGTCACCACGTAGAATGTCTTATAATTCAGTACCACGTAGAATGGTATATGCACTCATAAGAGCATCTCCAAGAGCCTTTATAAAGCACACCCTCTAAATCATTATTTGGAGAGTCATTTGCATAAAAATCGTTTTCTATATATTTTCATTCTCCAACAGTTTTTCTTTATGCCATGCGCACTCTAGAGAGCCATTCTCGTCTTCTGTTTTTGGCTAGCGAAAAATCGAGAATAGAAGATGGCTATATTTGGATGACCATTTAGAAAAGCCGTTGGAGGATAGTTTTTCAATAAAATTTCTATTACTAGCATTTATGAAGCATATGGAGAGTCCCTTGAAGATGCTCTAAGACCATCTCCAATAGACTCTTTATATATTTTCTAATCTACAGGAATAGAGATTTTGGTGAGCATGTACCCTCCAACAACCTATTCAATTGGATATCCAAATCTTGATATCCTCTATTATGGATTTCTTGCAAGCGAAACATGGAGAGCGAGGATGGCTGTATAGACTGCACACAAGATATAGAAAAACTGTTGGAGTATACAAAGATGAAAACGATTTTTACTCAGATGACTCTCTAAATGAAGATTTAGAGAGTAGATTTTTAGAAAGGCTCTTGAGATGCTCTAAGTATAGGCATCATGTAAAATGTCTCATACTTCGGTATAAATTTTGAAACTCATAAGAGCAACTCCAAGTCACTCTTTATATTCTTTCAAATTTAAAGGAATAGAGATTTTCATGAAAAAAAACTCTAATAGCCTCTTTAAATGGATCTCTAAATTTGGACATCCTTTATCCTGTATTTTTCGCTAGCCAAAAGTACAAGGATGGCTCTCTAGAGTGCACCTAATATATAGAAAACTTATTTGAGGCTACAACAACGCAGAAAGAGATTTTCACTCAAACCACTCTCCAAAATAAGTGATTTAGAGAGGAAATTTTTAAGACTCTCAGAAGCTCAAATAAGATAGATGTATTCAAGGACCAATTTGAAAGCACATAAAAAAAATCACGCATCCTAAACTTCCTAACGGGTGGTTGTGCTCCCGTAGAATCCGTTGTTATCGCGATTCTGTTCCTTAAACCAGTAGGAGCAGTACGATATACTTGTAGTATAAATAATTGCAGCCTTACGTCTACAGATGCGATAGCCACACAAATCTTCTTGTTCCTTCATCCAATGGAAACGGCAGTGGCGGCGGCGCGGCAGCACGCAAGCTCCGGCCTCACGTCTCTGTCCCACCGCCTCGCGAAGCAGTTTACCGCCGCGCATGGCGACGCCGCACGCAACCTCGTCTTCTCGCCGCTGTCCATCTACTCCGCGCTCTCCCTCGTCGCCGCCGGTGCCCAGGGAAAAACCCTGCGCGAGGTTCTCGACCTGCTAGGCACAGGGTCCCGTGAGGACCTCCATATGGACGTCAGGCGCATGGTCCAGCAGGCCATCCCGGCCAGGCCGCAGGACGGAGGCCCGCGCGTGTCCTACGCGTCCGGCCTATGGCACGACTCCAGGCGGACGCCGAAGCCGGCTTACCGCGACGTCGCCGCCGCGTCCTCCAGGTCTGTCGTGCGCGCCGTCGACTTCCACACCAAGGTCAGTCGGCATGGAATCCATATGGTTCGATCTGCTAATGTTTCGCATTCATAGATATCTGCGGTCGATCAAATTTTATTTTCCAGGATGAGGAAGCAAGGATCCTGATCAACAGTTGGGTCGGTGAGTCAACGAACAACCTCATCGACTCTATCCTTGCTCCAGGATCCGTGAACAGCACCACGCGCCTCGTGGTCACCAACGCCATCTACTTCAAGGGCAGGTGGGACACGCCATTCGAGAAGCAAAGGACGAAGGAGGACAAGTTCCACCGGCTCGACGGCAGCTCCGTCACAGCCCAGTTCATGAACAGTTCTAAACGCCAGTTCATCGGCGTGCACGACGGGTTCAAGGTGCTCAGGATGCCCTACACGTACAGGATGCACAGGGCGCCAGGTCTTCCCAGAACCATCCCACCACGATACTCCATGTGCGTCCTCCTGCCGGACACGCGCGACGGCCTGCAGGACCTCATGGACGCCGTGGCGTCCAGCCCGAGCTTCCTGCAGGACAACCTGCCGCGGAACAAGGTCAAGGTTGGGGAGTTCCGGGTTCCCAGGTTCCAGATGTCCTTCACCAAATCTATGAGAGAGGACCTCCAGGATCTTGGCGTCCAGGCCGTGTTCTCAGGGGCAGCCGAGCTGCCTGACTTGCTGGAGGAAGACGGGTCGCATGAACAAGGCTGTGATCGAAGTGAATGAGGAAGGGACAGAGGCCGCAGCTGTTACTGCTTGCCCTATGCTTGCTTCATGTGGACCGCGGCGGCAGCCTCCGCCGCCTGTGTACTTCGTCGCGGACCATCCATTTGCCTTCTTCGTGGTGGAGGAAGTGTCTGGTGCTATCCTCTTTGCTGGACATGTCCTTGACCCTACGCAATCTTAGTGCTGACTGCTGAGCACAGGTAGTAAGCATTATGCATCTGTTTATCTTAGACTCGCTCTTCAAATAAGATTAGTAAAATACCAGAATTAAGTTGTTTTGCCTTCTATACAGTCATTTTATGGGTACCAGTACCTCTTATCGAATTAGTACCAGTCTACCAGAACATGCAGTTCCATTCATTGAATTGGTATGTGAAAAGACACTATGATATTACCATGGTATGAGCAATTCAGCTATATTGAAAATAATAATTCCTACCTTTCATATTCATACTTAGATCGCCAGCCATGGATCATAATCTATCCATCTGAGTACAGCCTTTCATCGTCATCTGCTTTTCGAGTCCTCTGGGTAAATCTGGAGTCTTTCTGGTATGGTAGTGTATAGGTTACTACTAGAAGGGTACACTTCTGCAAAGTGTGCGTTCCATGATTGTGAGGTAGTTCTTCATTGATCTGATTGTGAGATACTTTTGTAACATGTTTTGCATGGTTTAGATTTCTTTGATTCATCATGCTGCAATTCATAAAATCAGTGATGCAATTAGTTCATCAGTGTTTTAGTACTTTGAGTCTAGTTTCGAAAGTTGCCTTTAGGATTGTGAGTGGAATCCCTTCTGCATTCTGGAGTCCAGCAGACTACTCCAGAGCAATTCTGACCTTCTAAGCTCTAAGAAGCTGTATGACTATCGGCTGTAGAACTTGTACTGAGAGAGTAGGAATTTGATGCTGGCAGAGATGAGCATTTCTCTATTGGGTCTTGCTGTGGTATTGTCAAATGTGTGTGAGCCGTTCATTTAATTAGATCGGATGGTTAGGATCGTCTAATACGTGAAATATACATTTATTTAATTTTATTTTTTTCAAATAGGAAATAAGGGAAGTTTCTGATATAAAAATATTTTTGTTGACACAATAAATCTTTTTATTTTATAACTTTAAACATGATATGATTTGATTAGCACATTTATTTAATTTTAATTTTCTAAAGTTGGATAAATATGCAAAGTTTCTGATATAAAAATGTTATTGTTAATACATACATGATCTATGATAAATCTTTTTATTTTTATAACTTTAAACAAGATATGATTTGATTATTAGCATGTAACTGTAACACCCTAAAAATTGCATGATTTTGAAATAGGAGAATTTGATTTATTATGTATTTTTGTGGGCATTTAAATTTAGAAAAACAATAACTTTGTTAAAAATAAAATTAAATATAGGTCTACATACATGTATGTGTATACATGTTGTTGCATATTTTATTTGTGATGCTTTGGTTTGATTAAAATTTGCAAAAGAATTTAAATTTGAGTTAAAATTGGATTTGAAAATATGTTAAGAAAAATAGAAAAAAGGATTTTATTTTGTTCTTCTTCCTTTCTCGGCTTTTGGCCGGAGCGGCCCACTTCTCCCGCTCGGCCTTCTCTCCCCTCACTGGCCCTCGGTCTATCTTGTTTTTTTTTTCGTAGCGGCCAATACCCCGCGCCTCTTTTTGTTCCGCAGTGGCTCAACAGGCACCTCCGCGCCATCCTCCTCAACGGCCCAGTAGGCGGCTCAAGTCGCCGCGTCGTGTTTCCCGCCTCTCCTCCCGCGCCCTATGCCGCTGCCAGCCGGCCCCACGCGTCAGCGACACTGTTCTTCTTCCCCGCGTGTCTTCGCCTCGGTCACGACCGCCGCCGCCCCGGAGTCCGCTCCGCCTACGCCTTGATCCTTGCCATGTAGCCCAAGTCTCCCTAGGCCATAAATACCAGCTGCTCGCCACCGTGCCTCCCCATCCCAAGCCTCAGAGCCGCAGCCGTCTTCGCCGAGTCATCGCATCCGCCAAACCCTAGCTGCCATCACCGTCTGCATCGCCGCTTCGCCGCGCACCACCCTTCATCGCTCTGCGCCTCGGTAAGCTACCTCGTCGAGCTCGCCGCTTCTTCCTCTATCTCCTGGTGCCCTTGGTTTGCTATTACGCAGCCTGTAGGCCCTTCTTCAAGATCGTCGGTGAGTTCTTCATGACCGGCCATGGCGCCACCACCGCGCACAGTGATGCTGGCGAGCTCCCCCCCCCCGATCTGTTTTGGACAGTCTAATCTTAATCCAACGGTCCTGAATTCACGATACCCCTTCGGCCGGTCTATTTGCAAAAGAACGCCCGCAATTTTATAAGTTCGAACCTGCGGTCCTTGATGCATTCCCTAGAATACGTTTTCTGTTTTCGAAAACGTATTTTCCTTTGGTTATTCTCAAAATACGCTTTCTCTTTCTGAAAACGTAGTTTTTTGTTAGATCTAAAATACGTTTTTAGCTATTTACAGTTTTGCCACTAATCTTGTTTTAGCCATAAAATCTTCATTTTAACTCCGATTTATTCCGTTCAAGTTGTGTTAGGTTCGTAATTGCATAATCTACATGTTTATACTATTGTTAAGTATGTTTTCAACTTTTAAAATTCGAGGTTAGATTTAATCTATTATTTTTAGCTCTGATTTTTGTGATCTTCACGTCTATGTGTTCATAGTGAGACGTAGATTCGTTTTACAAACTTTTATCTTGATTTTATGCTTATTGGTGTACTGTTCTAATCTATAGCCTTTGTTTGTTATGAATGATTGCTTCTCGATGCTTGTATGTTGCTGTGATTATGACAACTTGTTGCTACTCTTATGCTAAAATTGTGACAACTAAAAGCTAAATGCTGTTAAACCTATGTCAAGCCTTTTGAGCCTCATGAACTCCATGTTACACTTGTTGAGTACGACACGTACTTACGCTTGTTTATTTTCATTATTTGGATAAAAATCCCGGATGGATAATAGATGGCTATGGTAATGGCGACTTTCCTGAGGATTATTAGACTTGTGGTCAACCAGTTGACGTCCCTGTGATATGGAGCTTCCGCGAGAGATTTTTGTTTATACTTCCGCTGCATTTATGTGAAGACTTCGTCTTATTACAGTGATGTAATAAACACTTGTGATGGTACTATCTATAATTTGTCAGCTTATGTGTGTGACTGATCTATGAACGCACATAAGATTATGCATCTCATTTTATCCTTAAAATCGGGTGTGACAGTAACTAAATTTGGACGGGCATTATTTAGATGCGTGATTATTTGTTACGTCATGACGCATAATTTGGACATGTCAAGAGTTTAGTTGAGAATTTAGTTGGACATGTACATTCCTACTAATCTTTTGAATTTGTGGATTCCACAAGTTAGAGCAACCCTAAGAGAAATTGGCTAAAAATATATTCATATTCATGATTTAGCCATTCTCTAAAATAAAATCTTCGAAAATAACATGGGTTCTCCAATGGTCTTTGTAAATTTCCTATTTCCATATTCAAAACTTGTCCACGTCAATGTGCTTGCATAAATCTCCTCGCACATGTGCTTCAACCTCTAGAGCGTTGTGCGGCCGAAAGTAAGGTCTGGGACATGGCCACGGTCCTCCATCTCGGGCGACAATAACCATGACATTTACTCCATGCTTCTTTGCCAGCAAATTGTTGAGGTGCTCGTGCAGGTTGCACGATACCATAGTTACATGCACCAGAGTCAGAGCGCTGCCACCGGGCAAGCCGCCGCCGCTATTGCCGTCATGCATGGCGCGGTAGTACTTGAGCACCGGGTTCCCCACCAGACCGAGCAAGGTGACTTTGAAGTCAACAAGGTTGGTGGTTTGCTAGTAGCACCACAGGTGGTTGTTGAGCTTGAGGTAGAGGAAATGTAATCGTGCCTAGAATGACTCACTCCGACGTGCCGAGACTAGGAGACCTTGCGGCGTCGGCGGAGGAAAGTGTTGCGCCGTGCGCATGTGAAGCTTTCTTGCGGGAAAAGACAATGCACGCGTAGGAACACGTGAAATCGATGCGGGAGGGCTGATGGCGAGCGTCCGACGGCTTGCTTTTTCTAGCTAGCGGAATATGTGGGATAGCCAATTGGGTGTTTTGGAAATTCTGATACAATATCTGTTGGATCCAATTTTATGCCCCAATTGGACTAAAACTATGAATAGCATATCTCTTAGAGGTGCTCTTATAGACCTTAACATCATATTGATAACCAAGAAATATGCACTTAACAACTCTAGGTTCCTCGCATTATGAACGTGGCCATAAGCAGTAAAAAAACTCTCAATTGTAAATAATCAGGTAGAGAACCGGACAATATTTTAATTGGAGTATTCTTATCAATAGCAATATAGGGTGAACAGTTCAAAAGATAGCGTGGAAATAGCTTTAGGACAAAAAAGCCTATTCAAAGCCAAATTAGACAACACTCAATTGGCCTTGGTACTGATAATTCTTTTAAAATGCTCAGCTACACTATTCTTTTGAGGAATATAGGGAATAGTGTAGTGCCTAACAATGCCTTGATATTCGCAATATGCTTTAAACTCATTAGAACATAATTTCATCCCATTATCAGTGCAAAACCTTTTAACATTCTTTTTAGTTTCACTCTCAATCATAACCTTCCACTATTTAAAATGCTAAAAATGTTTCTTATTTACTTTTTTTTAGAAATAAGGCCATACTTTACAAGAATAACTATCAACATATAATGAACACCACCCAAATAAGGCTTGCCATATCGTCCCCATCAATCAGAATGCACATAATCAAGAATACCTTTACTTGCCGACCAAAGATTATATTAGTAGCATCAGAATCAGATAATATATTAAAACTAAACAAAACCACTAGTAATTTTGGTACCACAAATACTATACAGATTGAAAGAGTTTAAATCACGTTTCGTAACAATAAGAGAACCATTTGACAGCTTTTGAACTCCGTCTCCACTGTAGTACTTG